CTTAGTGGGTCGCAGTCAAGCAGCTTAGAATAAAGCAAATTTGAAACCAATTATGGAGCGCGTTTGGTTTTTTTCTGCACTTGATAGTTAAGTTCCAGAGACTTGTCTCCATGTGTTAGAGTTACATGTTCAGAAGCTTTGCTGTGAAAATGGCAAATGGGAAATGGTCACCCATTCATACACCAATGGCGACAGAGCTGCCATGCAAGGTGCTGCCTGCCATTGGGAGCAACTCGGGTTCAACTGAACAACTGTGGAGGGGCGGGGAATCGAACCAGCAACCTTGCGATTGGAGGACAACCCATTCTACCACCTGAGTCACAGCCGTCTAATACAAAATAAAATAATAACGCCGTCTTTACTTAAAATGGCTCAGATGTAGCGCTACACCTTTGCCTTGTGGAGATCTAGAAAGTACCTGGATCTCTCTTAATCAGAATCAGAATCAGAATCAGCTTTAATGGCCAAGTACGTACACAACATAAAAGGAATTTGGTTTCGGCTGTTGGTGTCGCCCTAGGAATTTGCACGAATAATGGAAATAGGAAAATTAAGAAATAAAATAAAGTAAAATAACTAAAGAAAGAAAAGAATAAAATACAATAAATATTAATAAAAAATAAAACAAGACAATAACACAAATACATACAAGAATTTACACATCTAGTAGAAAAGGTTCATGTACATTAGCGCAAAATGGAAGTGCACTGTTCATTGCAGCTCAAGCGCACCAGCTCACCTACACTTCTGCCCAAACACTGTAAAAGCTACACAGTGACACATTTTAAGATTGGAGTAATTCCGTCATACATGTTGGAATAACAAAGCAATTCTTTTTTTTAAGTGATTTTGTTTGCCTTTATTTGATGGTGCAGTTTGAGAGAGAGAGACAGCAAAGTGGGGAAGAAGAATGGGGGAATGACCTGAAAAGGGCCACCAGCGGGATTCAAACTCACGACCTCCATGTCGGGAGCTATAGCCCCTGAACATGTGTCGCTACCTCAACCAGTTGAGCTATAGCGGCGCCACTAACAAAGCAATTCTGAAGAGGGATAATATTACAGAAAAGCTGCATCCTGCAGGCTGACAGGTTCTTTACGTCTGCTCCATTTGAAGCCATTCGAGCCTTTGAGCGTGATCAGTACAATGCGGTTCTCAAGGTGAAAACGCTCAACCGCAATGCTGAGTGCCATAACATGTCCTCCAGCACATGAGAAACACCATAAGGACATGCCAATGAGGTGGGGAAAAAAAAGAGAACCTGATTCTCACCAGAGGGGGCCTTTAATCACTTGATGGTCCAATGACAGAAATTAAATGATAGAAATTAGATTTAAGGCCGTTTGTTTATGCACACATCAAGGAGGCCCATTAGCATTCAAGTCATGTTCGTGTTTATCAGATGAACCCGAGCTCAGAAATTTCTCCTTTTAGCCTCTTTGTGGTCGTCTATCTATCCATCCATCTATCCATCCGTCTCCCTCCACCAGCGAGTTGCTATCTTCACTGAGCAGGACGCACGCAGAGGCTTCATCAGGGCTTTGTAGCTGAAAACTGCTGCCTGCAGCATCCAGAAACAACCGACGGGGAACTGCACAGTCAGCGGATCAGTTTTTGTTAGTTGGTGACTTTAGGGGACGCCGTAGTTAATCTATCAGTTATAGTGGCTTTTAGTCATCAAACCATCTGGTAAACTCTTTAGTTCTGGACGGCTGCTTTTTTAAAAACATTTAAGCAAGACTTTGAGTTCTAATTAACAGCCCTAAATAATTTAATTACATGGGACATTAATATAGTTTCCATCCGGTTACCAGGTTTAGGATTGAACACTGTTTAGGTCCTCAAACAACAGCAATAAACAACAACAATAATACATGCTGAGCAAATATGAATGTATTAACAGTTGTTGAATTCTAATGTATATGTAAGTGTCAAGGTGACCTCATACTGTAGGACATATACAGCATATCTATAATGTCTGTTCTAATCCATTCAAAGATCGCTGCGACACGTCCTTCCGCTCCTCTTCTCTCTCCATTGATTCAGAGTCTCTATAGTCTACTTCCTAATAAAGACAAGATGCCAGAAATAATGCAGGCATGTATAAAGGATCCGTATATTATCTGCCAAGAGTCGTTCTCTATTCATGAATTCTTTGCAACGCCGGTGCCATGAATGTGTTTCAGAAACGCTGTTTAAATTACAGTTGTTTGCTACAGTGGCTCCATTCATGTTTCTTGCCAATATGAAAAAAAAAAAAAAAGACATTTGAAAACTGCTGTTGGGTGGAAGCTCCGCTCTGTCTCCTCTGTCAAGGAGAAATCAATCACTCAGTCCCTGGAGGAACACCAGCTGGCATCTGAACCAATTGTGCCATTTGGCCTTGTGTGCAGATTGACTATACTTTCCCTCATTCCTGTCTTTCAATCTTCAAATTAATTCCCCGTGTTTACAGGAGATTTCTGTCCGACGGAAACAAACAAATGATGGCTTCACCCCAGCCGGGCCAAGCACGTTATTGTGTGTTTATTCATCACTGGATGTTTTACACTGATTACGACGAGATTTGGCATCCCATAAAGAAAAGAATGAAGTGCGTAACATGAGCGACTCTGTGGCGATGGAGGTTTAAGGGGTCGCTCTGTGCCAAGATGGCACAAAGTTTGCTGGAGCTGAGCTGTAAAGTTTTGGTCACAGAAACACAGGACACAGTGCAATAAATCACGGTGGAGTGTGTCCTAGTGCTACCAAAGTGTGGTCATCAGTCTTTCCGGTGACCTGGAGAGTCCTTTGTTGTCTCTACTGGGCATCTAATTCATGACTGAACCCAATGTGATGTAATTAATGTAAAGTAGATAAGACTTTTTAATTATTTCTCAGTGTACAAGCAGAGATGGAGAGACGCCTTAAACATTGCTGAGCCAAGAGTGCAATTAAATGAGAAAACTCGATAGGTGCGGGAAAAAAACAAGGCATAAAGTGGCTGAAGGAAACCTGTGTTTGTCAAATTATTGCTTTTATCCGTCTGCGAGGCTCTCTGTGGGCTTTATTAAGAGCACTGCTGCGAGGACAGCTGCAGTGTAATTGTGTTATAGCAGGTTTGCAGGCCATCAGGAGGTCAATCACATCAATTAACAGACGTCCATCGTGCGCTGTTTAGAGGAGCCCTGTTGATGTGTTGAGTGGAAGCTGTAGCCTTCTCCCGCTGAGCACGATGACTTCCCGTCGCTAAAGCCACTGAGAAATGACTTTATCAGGTTTTCACTCAGGCGGCAGCCGGTTACAGTTCACCGGTGGGCACTACGCTCGCGTTTCACCGCGCCAGCAAAAAAGCACAAAGTGCGCATCAGAGAGAAGGACATACGTCGTGCTTTTATTGATCACCGATAATGTGTACTGTTGCGTGAGGCACAGACAGCTTCTTCCCATCTCACTCTGTTAAAAGCGGCAGCTCCGGGTTTGCACAGCCGCCGTGCGCAGCTGGTGAGGAAAAGCAGTTGCTAGGACACCGAGTCCAATTGAATGAATAATGTGAAATAAATTTATTTTGACCGGCTACTTCCTGCATTCGCTTTATTTTATTTAGGTTTTTTTTTTCCCTGCGTCGGTGACAACACAGAAAGACTAAGTTGTACATTAATAAAACATGAAACAGATGTATTACAAGGTTTCACGCGGAAGCTCATTTGCGTCTCAGACCATTGTTCGGCTTTCAAGTGTGAAAGATAAACACTGCTTTGTTAACAGAGTTGTAATTACATGATGCAAAAACAAATAACTTAAATAAATCCTACAGCGCAACAGAACGGCTGCCATGTATAACTGTGTGTGTGCATGTTTACCCTGTGTGGTAGAAGATGCATGTGCTAGTCAGTTTAAATTACCCAGTATGTGTGGGGTTTTTTTGTTCTGTTAAAGGTCCCATATTTCACCCCTTTAAAAAATTAATCAAAGTTTCACTTGTCGTCACAGCGTTTCTTTCATAACAGGTCAAAATGCTGCAGGGATGGTTCATACCACAATCACTATATAAACCTCATGTTCTAAATGGATTTTTTTTTGTTCTGAAAATAGTTGTGGAGGCATAGATACGTATAATAAAGGCTAGATGTCCCATCTGCGCTGCCGGCCAATGGAATCACATGGCCACACTGGCGGCCATCTTGGCATGGTCCACTCGCTCACCCATAACGTTGTGTTGTAGTGATGCATGGACTTTTTAAACAACCATAACTTGCTCAATTTTTTACTGATTTTCAAATAGTTTGGTTTGTTATAAACGTCAGAGGTGTAGCTATAACACTGCACTGATGGATAATTATGTTACACTCTCACTCAAACCAAAGCGTTTGTAAATCCGTCAAGATTTCAGCGAGATGCGAGTATTTACGTTTGTGCAGATCACTCAGGTTCCGCCAGAGAGCTTCCCCGAATCAAGATGGCTGCCTGTGATCCCGTTCGAAACGCCGCCTTAAGCCATCTAGCCTTTATTATACATATCTATGTGTGGAGGGATGGCAAGAGTAATATCTTCATAGATTTTATCTCACATCTCCAAGTTCATAAACAACCACTAAACACAATAAAAATGTGTTTTCACCATATGGGACATTTAAAGCACTTGGTTGACAGATCTTGAGGCGCAGCATATGGGATGGTTTTCCTATTATCGGTTCTACATCGTGTTAGAATCCAGTAGGAAAAACAATGGAAGACATTTTTACTTGTCAAACAGAAGAGCACAGGTATAAATAATAACACTTAGTGGCTCCATTAAGTGTTCCAATAAGTCACTGACTGGACAGACACACACACACACACAATACCAGAGCCCCAGAACTGGCTCACCTAAATGGAATGCAGCCATCATTAATCTTATTAATTACACCTTTGCCGTTGCTGCTTTGACAGGTCAAAAGGTCTGCAGTAAACAGTGCCATGTCCCAGCTTTGTAAACGGTTATCTTGCTAACCAAGCCTTCACGCTTCTCGTCCCTTCAGGAGTACACCATCGACGTCTTCTTCCGGCAGAGCTGGAGGGACGAGAGGCTGAAGTTTGACGGGCCCATGCAGGTTTTACCCCTCAACAACCTCCTGGCGAGTAAGATCTGGACTCCCGATACGTTTTTCCACAACGGAAAGAAATCCGTGGCCCACAACATGACGACTCCGAACAAACTGCTACGACTAGTCGACAACGGCACGCTTCTCTACACGATGAGGTAAGACGCTTATGTAGCTGCTCCCCAGTCAACACTGTCCCTGGACTAATACAGACTACAGGAGTTCCGGGCCAATTTACACCTCTCTCGATAATTGGAAATGTGGTCTAGCTTGGGTCCGAACTGAACAGATTATTTGGTAAAGTGAGGGGTTTACAGATGAAGGCAAAACACCCCCAAACTTCTTGCAGACTCCAGTTTGACATGTTTGATATTTTCTAGTTAAAATCGGGACGGGTGCAATTCTAACGCTACTTCCTGGAGCAGTAGACACGGCTCCAAGCAGCATTAAACATTCTAGCCCTTAAGGCCAAGGTCAGATATCAGACTTAAAACTCGCTGAAGAATAGACGCCCCTTGTTGACCGCATGCTCCCAACCATTTTCTCATCCGAACCCATTTAGCCTTCTGCTTTAGCTGAGGTGGTGCGCTGCTGCCTCAGGAACGATAATCTTAATAATAGTGTGTAATGTGCCATTCTTTTCACATCTTGTAGTGCGAGCATGTCTGAGATTAGAGAGCAGAGTATCTGTGAAGTCTTTCCTTATGTGTGTGGTGCAACCCGACTTC